CAGAGTGGGGATTAGGACAGGTAGATCTACTGAAACCGGTCAGGAGAGGTCTGCCGCGCCCTGTGGTCAGCACGGCCAGGGGTCGACCTCGGGCTGCAGCGGGTGACTAAAGCTGCACAGACTTTAACAACTGCATCACCAGAGCGGCCCCCAATTTTCTTTTAAACCACAGACTGCTTTTGAGGGCTCAAGCAGAGCCGCAAATGTGTCTTCTCAGTAAGTTCTGGAAACATGTGTGTCCGGCGGAAATCTTAGTGTTTTTTTAACAAGTCTTTTTGTATAGTAGTTGCGTATTTATTATTTTTAATCTCATAAAAGATATGCTTGTTATAGCACACTTGGGTAGGTCTTGAAACCCCCTTTTCCTTCGTCCAGTCGTCCGCCTGTAAAGGCCAGTGCTTGTTTTGTCCTTTTCATTGGTGTTACAGCCTGTCCCTGCTCAGCTGCGTTTCCCCGGCCCGTCCGTCTCTCCTTATGCTTGTGAGTGTTCCACGGTGCCGGAGAGCCGCGTCTTCCTGATCTAATCGTTGTTGTGGCCACTGTGGCTGCGCCCACGTCCTCGTTGCTGTGAACAGTCTGCAGTGAACTCTGTGCAGACGACAGTGCTTTGCCCTGATGGCTTCATGTTCTTTCCAGAGAGGCCAGGAGCTGGCCTGCTGGGTTGTGGTTTTCTAAGATGGCTCCAGCGCGTCTTCCGCCCACGTTAGAGTCGTGGCGCTTCCCTGTCTCCACGCTCTCTCCAGCACTTCTGGGGGTCTTTTCCGTCGGTGCCATTGCCATGTGCGTCCAGCCTGCATCTCTTATTGGAAGTGATGGCGAACGTTTCCCCCCATGTCTACCGGTCTCTCGATCAAATGAAATAAAGCTGAAAAATTAGTTCCTCCGTGGCACTGACCATATTTAGTGCTTGGGAGCCACGTGGCTGGTAGCCTCAGCAGTGGCTGGCGCGACATGGCAGCATATCCTGCTGACTGCCCTGTTCTAGATGATTCCACAGAAAGGAGGAGCCACCCTCTCCTGGGTCCTCCCCTCCACTTCATGAAGAAACACTGGCATAGAGGGGCCTGGGGGCGATGGGGCTCCCCGAAGATGATCATCGAACTCCTCATCCACTCCTGGGGATGTGGCAGAAGGCGCAGCCACTTCTCACATTCTGGCTCTTTCCCCAATAGGATGACATCATCCGCTTGCAGTCCCAGCAGAAAGCAAGCAGAGACGACAGCCACTCCGTCCTGGGAGAGCTGGAGGTAAGGCGGCGGGAAGTGGGCTCTGGCTGTCTGTCTGTCTGCCCCTAGGCTGCTTGTCAGTTGGTTCTCCCTCCGTTAGTGCCCCCCCGTGGCCGGCCTGGCTCACTGCTGCGAGGTGCTGCACTTCATCACAAGCAGCCTCTGCATGGTCATCCTGCAGGCTTTTGTCCCCAGGGCCTCTCTGTCCACTAGGAAGAACCCCCCCCCCCACCAAGGGGCCTCCCCAGGCTATTGTGCAGTAATTCCATCCTAAACTGGTTCCTTCTAGAGGGATCTCTCCCTCTATCTTTTCTACCCCCCCCCCCCAATCCTGGGCTGTCCTCAGCTGATAAGAGTTGTCACAAACACTTGTTGAGAATTGCTACAGACCAACTACTGGGCTCGAGGTTTTGCCAGTGCAACCTCAGTGAATCCTCAAGCCACCCTGGGATGTTGGCAGACGAAATGAGTTCACAGAAAAAGTCACTTGAGCAGCATTATGGAACTGGGGCATCGTGTAAGCTTAGCGTGTATCCAGCTGCTGCTGACGGGACCTAAAATAGCAGTGGCCTGAGAAGGCAGAAATTTATTTAACTCTGTTAAGAAATAAACCTGAAGACAGAAGTAAATCAGGCAGACACATCAGGTCTGATGGGGTGTCTCCGTGATTCACAGTGACCCAGCGCGTCTGTTTTTCCTCCTTTACTGGGTGAATTACACGCACAAGGATGCCTCAGGCTGCACTTGACTGCTGCTGGGCCAGCCCCATACACATTCCAGGCAGGGGAAAGTGAGGAAGGTGAAAGAGGACTTGCTCGCTGAATCAGCCAGATTAAAAGTTCTTTCCCCGAAGCCTCAGTGTTTGCTTCTCACTGCAGCCCTGTTACAAGGGAGAACTGGAGCCATAACTTCAACTTGGCCCACTGCCACTGCCAATACGATCAGGGTTTGTTATTAAGATAAAAGGAAAGGATGAATAGCATGTGTCTGACAAAGATGTAGGCAGAGTGGGACGGCAAAGTTCTGTTCCAACCCAATAGCTCCGGGCCCAGGGTCTGTCTGAGCGCGGCCGGTCCCTGGTCTCTGGCAGGGACGATGGTGCCATTCTCCAGAAGGCCACTGGGGGGCAGCAGAGCACACACTGGCCGCTGAGCTGCGGGGCTGGGACGGCCCCTGGCGGGCCTCGGCAGAGGACTAAGACTTCCAGCGGGGCCCAGGGCCAAGGAGACCCAGGCTAGGCCCACGCGGGGGCCCCAAAGCCTCCTTCGGGGACACGCAGCAGGCAGACTTCTTGGGACCGGAAGCTGTGGCTCTCCGCCTCTGGGTTTGAAGGCCTGAAGGGCCGCAGCAGGGGAGCCTGCAGCCCGCACCCTCCCTACCTGGGCCCAGTCCTTCCACCAGCTATTTGTCTCTGGCTTTAATGTGAGTTCTGGGAGGTTCTTTTCAAATGCAAATCGTCCAAGCAGAATTTGCCTTGCAGGTGTTTTCTGGCTACTATCTCAGGCCCTTGGAGCTCTCGGGCCCTCTCTCAGCATCTCCTCTCTGCATCTCCTGGCCAGCTGGGACAAGGGGCAGGGCCCTGCATAGGCATGCAGTGACCAGGCCCGGAGAACAGGGGCTTGTGTGCAGCTCCCAGAAGTCTCTTAGCTGTGTGGCTTTGAGAAAGTGACCGAGTGCCGGTCACAGCTGTAAAATGGGCCTGATACGCACGCACACGTCACAGGGCTCTGAAAGCAGAAGCATCAGGTGTGTCTGCTCGCCTCCCTCTGCCCCACCAGCTTAGAAGCCGTGGCTGCTGTTGCCGTTGTTGAGCGTATAAGTCAGCAAGACTGACCTGGAAACTTCCCTCACCTGGAAACTGGGGCCGTGTGCGGGTGAGTTAGGATGAGCTGCAGTGGGAACCTAGAGCATTTTGGGTCCTGGACAACTGTTATTGCTGTGACATCAGGCTCTGTTTTTTCATTACGTGACCTGTCCATGCACCTTTGGAATTAGATGACACCTCTTGTGTGGTAGGAGAAAATGCAGCCCTGGAAATAGAATATTCTAGAAGCTGGGACAAAAAAAACTGCGTGGTGTGGTGGTTGTGGATAGAACGAACCCCTCGGGATCCTATTTGGGACCGTGCCTGGAGGAGCCTCAGGAGCGGGGCCAGTCTCTATGGGGCCCAGTTCGCTTCAGCAAGTCCCAGGTGACAGCAGTGAGAAGCCAGTTGAGATCCCGGGAGCTGGCAAACGCAGGACTCTCAGACTCGACAGTGGGTCAGGAGCCCTGGGGGCCCGTAAGACGCAAGGCCAGGCCCCCACCCCAGGGCCCCAGGGTGCAGTGGGCCAGGCTGGAGCCCACGAACGTGCATGTCTGAGTTTTGGTAAGGCTGGTCCTGGGCCCGACTCTGAGAGCCACCGGACTAGGGCCCTGGTGCTTTCCACCGTGAGAGGCGGCTTGGTTAGACGCGGCAGCGCCGACAGGGGAGAACAGACCAGAATGAAGAGATAACCCAAGGCAGATGCGGCTGGTCCCTGGTCCGAGGCCAAGTCCTCTTGCTACACATTTACGCCAACATCCGCATTTGCATGTAGGTGGCGACAGCAGGAAATACTTGTTTTCCCTATGGGCCAGTTTTGAGAGTTACCGACCCTTAAGGAGTAGTGTGACCCACTGCCCACAGACGCGCGTTCATGCATGTGAGTGAAGAAATTCACATTCATCACTGTTTATCATTTTTGCTGAGCCCGTAGCATCATATTTTCTCTCACTTTCCTTTTGTTCTTTGTTCCGTAAACGCTGATTGAGGTCCATTAAACAGATCTCATGCCTCCCCGCCACCCAGAGGTTTGAGAATCTGCAGCCCGGAGACCCTGCCCCCGGAGGGTCTCCACACTCTCACCCCCACGGTCCTCGGGGTGGGCTGAGCCTGGCTGACCCGGGCGGGAATCGGGGTCTGCCACCAGGAGAAACTGAAGCAGATCACGGAGGAGGCCGATGCCTACGAGAACACCTACAAGGACATCAGCAAGACCTTGGAGACCCTCAGGAGCTCCGTGGAGAATCTGTTCAAGAAGATCAATTGTGACGCCACCAAGATCTTGGTGCAGTTGGGAGAGACGGGAAAAGTCACCGACAACAACCTTCCCCAGTACCTTGGTGAGCCAGGGGGGCCTGCGGGGTGCTTAGGAACTTTTTCCAGAACTTTCTGTGACCAGGCAAGGGGACTTGTTCTTTGGGGGGCCGTGAGCCAGCCCACTGGGTCCAAGTGCTGGTTCTACCCTTAATCTGCCGCGTGGCTGGGGGTGAGCGTGCTGGTCAGGCTTCCCACTGTGGGCCTCTGCAGCTGCCACTGCAGCTTGAGCTTGCTAATGTGGAAGGCGCGTGGGTGCGAGGCTCAGTGCCTGATTGGGGCGCCGAGCCGGGCTTGGGGCGCACCTGTGCAGGTGTAGAGGAAAGCAGGTGCAGCGGATTCAGGCAAGCCAGGAGCCTCGGAGCCTTAGGTGGATTTGACAGGTCTTTGATGCTGGGGGGGGGGCCTGGACACAGCAGGAGGCAGCAGGGTAGAGAGGCGGAGAGAGGGGAGAGGGGACAGGCCAGCCGGAGCTCCCAGCCCCCGCCCGGAGCCCGCGCTCCCTCTGACTGCTCTGTGCTTCTCTTTTCTGTCTCAGTTTCCAGCACTGACCTTCAGCCCGGGGGCCACAGCCACGCGTGTGCGTGCCCTGTGCTCACACTCCCACGCGCAGCGTCCGCATGGACCTGGGAGGAGGGTGGGCTGCAGGTGGCAGAGGAGAAAAAAGCCCGATGCCTGCATTTCCCCACGAGCATCAGCCACACGTCCTGGTCCCCTCGCGCGGGCCTGGCCAGCCGCCCACCAGTTAATGGCGACAGAAACTTCCCGGACCCAGCTCCCCTAGGCCAGCCTGGCCAGCAGGCCTTGCAGCGGGCAGCAGACAGACCCGCAGTGCTGCTGCACGGCCTGGCGGGCTCCCGAGGCTCACGGGCTCCTGCCCGCCTGTCCCATCTCCTTGCCGCTCCCTGCCCTGTCCCCCCCTCCAGCCGTTTCCGCACCCTCCCCACGCACCCCCGCCTCAGGCTCCTGCTGCCCCCCCCCCGTGGCTCCCGCCAGCCCCGCTTCACGGCCACACCTGAGGCTGCCCCGCCGTCACTCCTGCTACCGTCCCCGTCTGTGACGCGGGCAGGCGGCTCCCGGACTCTGCGAGGCAGTGGCTGTCGCTGAAGTCAGACGCAGATACTGCCCGTCGCTGATCTCAGGGAGGAGCACGGGATGGGCGTGAGGCTGACCCGAGCCCGGTAGCTGACCGCACTCAGTCACGCGCACGTGCGTTGATTTGCTGGACTCTGGGCTGCCTCAGGGCAGGGCCGCGTCTTCGCCGCTGGCTCTTCTCTTCCTCCTGCACCTGCAGCATCCGCACGGTGCTGGTGCGGCCGGGCCGGGTAATCATTAGTGGGCTGACGGAAGGCAGGAAGGAGGGGCGCCCGTGTGACCCTGGGTGGGGAACGCCGTGGCCGGGCGGGCCTGGGAGACCCTCGCGCGGGTGGCGAGGCCTGAGCCCTGTCTCCGAATGCCAGAAAGGCTTCACGGGCGGGCGGCTGTCGGGAAAGGCATTCTGAGCAGAGGGAGCAGCGTGAGCCAAGCCCTGGGGGCTGAGACGGAGGGAGCCAGGCAAGGCCAGAGGTTTCAGGCCGCCCAAAGCTCCTGCCTGTCACTGTAACTGTTTCTCAGCCTTCTTGTCAGAATTCCCTCCCTAGGGACCTTTTTATTTTTTAGAGATTTATTTATTTGTGCATACAGAACTGGGGTGCAGACCAGAGGCTCAGGGGCGGCGAGAACCTTCACCAGAGACAGAGTGGGGAGCAGAACAGGCAGATCAGTGAAGTCCATTGCTGAGGGGAGCAGCGGGCGGGCCAGGAGAGGTCTGCCGCGCCCTGGGGTCCCCTCCGGGGCAGGCGGGATCGAACTCAGCGAAGCGGCTTCAGCTTCTCAGTGCTGTGCTGTGACCCGAGGCACCCCAGGGAGGGCCTCCTGAGGGGCCTTTGTGGACATGGCCTGGCATCCCTCATTGCTCCCCGCATGAACTCCCACCAGTGTGGTCGCACAGCTGCTTCCGTCCCGTCTGCCTGTCTGCACGCTGCACACTACAGGCAGGCACAGGTGTCTTGAGAACCAAACCTCGCCCTTTCTGGCTTGGTGCCACCCCAGCTGCTGAGAACCTGTCTCCCCATTCCTGTCCCTTCCCTCCCACCCGCAGGGGTGCACACCCAGCGCCCTAGAAATAGAGCTGGCAGCCACTTTGGCTCTGCCTTCCTTCCCCAGCCATCATTGAAAAGAAGACAAACGACCTGCTGCTGCTGGAGTCCTACAGGCGGCTTGTGGAGATTGACGGGCTGGGCACTGCAGAGACCACGCAGACCTTCATCAACCCTTTCTGGGGCGGCTCCAGCCTCCTCAAGCCTTTGGAGCCCGCGAAGGTCACCCCCCCAGTGCTGGGGTCCGACCCCTTCAGCGACAGGCTGGACGACGGTGAGCCCTCTCTCTGTGCCTGGGTAGGGATCCGGCAGTGTGGAGCCTCAGTTTCCCCCCCCCATGAGCCTCAGGAAACCTCAGCTCCCTCGGACACTGTCTTGGCTGTGGTCACTTGACATGGGATACTTCCCCATGGGTCACACACCACGAAGTTAGCCATCGTGGATATTTTTATTTTATTTATTT